GCTGCTGCTGCTGCTGCTGCTGCTGCGGCTGCTGCGGGGGCAGCAGCAGCTCGGCCTCCTCGTGAATGGCCCTGCATACTATTGCTGTTGCGCGCTGCAGAATTGTCACTGGAGATATTTGGTTGGGATCTACAAGACTCATCATTCCGACAACCATTTTAACGAATCCGTCGACGCTGAAAACCCCCAAGTCGCTGACTTCTGCGGGCTGCGCTGCGGGGCCCCGCGCTGCTGCTGCTGCTGCTGCTGCTGCTGCGGCCGCCGGCGACGCTGCGGACGGCGAGCCGCTGCCTTCCCCTGCTGCAGCGCCGCCTGCAGCAGCAGAGAGGCCCTCACCAACGGCTGCTGACCCTCCTGCTGCGCCGCCTGCTGCTGCGGCTCCTGCTGCTGCTGCTGCGCGCGGAGGCGGCGGCTGCAGCGGAGCAGCAGCAGCAGCAACGGCCAGCTTCAAAGACACGGCAAAGAAACGATCTGTGTGGCTGTCCATGCGCAGCAGCCCCTGGTGAGAAACTCTTTGAAAGAATGTCGCCCGCACAATGAAGCTGCGTTCTGCTGCTGCTGCTGCTGCTGCTGCTGCTGCTGCGCCGCCCCCAGACGTCGCAGCACACAGCAGCAGCCAGTCCCGAAACACACGCTCCACCAGCTGCTGCTGCTGCGGTGAAACACGCGGCAGACACGCCAGCTGACGCACCACCGGCTGCTGTTGCTGTTGCTGCTGCTGCTGCTGCTGGTGCTGCTGCATCAGCGTCAGCAGACTGTACACCAAAGGCTCCTCCTGCAGCAGCAGCACCACCTCAAACAGCACCGAAATGCAACTCAGAAAGACCATTAGCTGCAGCAGCAGCAGCAAGACCGCTCAGTGCAACATAGCAGCAGCAGCAGCAAAAGCAACGCAGACAGCAACAGCAGCAGCAGCAGCAGCAGCAGCATACTGGGGTGTTCTCTGTCTTGAAGCCCTCCATAAGTCTTTTTCGGGTTTCCTCGAGGTGCTGCTGCTCGCTGCTAATTCGCGCAGCAGCAATTGCTGCTAGGGTTAGAGGCCATTCGGTTCGGGTGCAGCAGTGCTGCTCTTGCAGCAGCCGCAGCAGCGCAGCAGCAAACTCGAAAGCAGCAATATGTCTCTCGCTGCTGCTGATCTCCTGGCTCAGCAGCAAATCTGCTTCGGACGGCAGCACCAGCTTGTAGCGAATGAGAGCAGCAGCAACAGAGACGCTGCTGCGGCGGCTGTTGCTGCTGGGCGCGGTAGCGGCGGCGCCTCCTGCTGCTGCTGCTGCTGCTGGCGCTGCTGCTGCTGCTGCTGCTGCTGCTGCTGCTTCCGCTGTTGTGCACGTCAGAGAGAACACCTCCGTGCACAACGTCCTTACCTGCGGCCCGAACGGCAGCAGGCCCTCCAGCAGCGCCCCGTACACTTCCAAGTAAAGTGCTGCAGCAGCAGCAGCAGCAGCAGCAGCAGCAGCAGCAGCAGCAGGAGTTGGTGATGGCGCGTTCGCAGCAAAGGCAGCACGTCCACCGGCGCCGGCCATCTCCCGAAGCAGCAAATGAATCAACTACTCCAATCTAATTAATTAAATTAATTAAATTAAATGAATTAAATTAATTAAATGGAACTTACCGAGTCTGTCGACGCCCCGAATGGAAGAGTGGGCGGGCCTGGCCTGGGGAGCTGCTGCTGCTGCCAGCATAGTCTTGAGGACTGCGTGGGTGAGGAGAGCAGCAGCTTCTCTCGGTGCTGCTGCTGCTGCTGCTATTGCGAGGCAGGAGCGCAGCAGCAAAAAGAGTTCCGCGTCGGAGGGGAGGCTGGCAGCAACTAGCAGCGCCGTGCTGCAGCAGGCCGGCACCGGCGCAGCAGCAGCGCGGCAGCCCGCCGGCCAGCTGAACTGCAGCAGGAGCAGCAGCACACACAGTTCACGGCCCATTCTCGCGCCGCCGCTGCTTCCTCCGCCTACCACTGCGCAGCAGCAAACAGCAGCAGGAGCAGCAGGAGCAGCAGGAGCCGCAGGAAATTACGCGTTCGGTGTTTGGCGACGAAGGCATGACTGGGGGGCACAAGAAGATAGCAGCAACTTCTTCCTTGAGCAGCAGCAGCGACTCTTCGAAGCGCTGCAGCACGTCTGCGCTGCTGAGGGAGCCGACGGGAGGAATAGGGAGCGGTTCGCGGACTCCGGTTGCTGCTGCTGCTGCTGCTGCTGCTG